TAAAGTCAGTAAGGCTGGGTCTACATTGGATGTCGTAAGTCGAATAATGAACTGTGATTGGTCAATTTCTTCCGACACGACTTACGACATCCAATGTAGACCCAGCCTTACTGACTTTACTGGCGTGCGAAAAACGCAGCACCAGTAATTTTCATTGCTACCAACTATACTGTTTTCACTGGCAGTAACTAAATCCATTTTTGAACACATCCCCAATGTAGACCCAGCCTTACTGACTTTACTGGCGTGCGAAAAACGCAGCACCAGTAATTTTCATTGCTACCAACTATACTGTTTTCACTGGCAGTAACTAAATCCATTTTCGAACACATCCTATATAGTGTCGCGGACAAAAATCTTACAAGTTTCCTAGACTTTTCTTTTTTGAACGCTCGCGTAGAACGCTTTGTTTACAGATAGAACTACGACAGGGTAACGTGGCTAAGGGACACGTAGTTGCGGGCCTAGATACCATAGATTTGTAAATAAATCTTCTCGCTTCTACTAGATTAAGTCCCAAATGGTGGGAGGCTCCAGCAGAGGAGGTTCTCGCCATTTAAGGGTATAAATAAAAGCCCCAAATGCCGTAGGGCTAGAGAGGGAGAGAGAGAGGTGAGAGAAAGAGAGATAATCCCACAAGCAGTTAATATTTGATATTCGGCGCACTTTTTTTAGAAATTCACCATTCGACATTCACTATTCGACACAAATAAAGGTTACAACACCGTACAAAATCTTCCATATATTACCAGGACTCCTATCGTGATCGCCAGAAGTGTAGCAAACATAATTTCTATCTCCCTCTCTCTCAGAGAATAGCCACGACAAGTCATATAATGCCCAAAAAGAGAGGTATCCGGGTTCAACTAAAACGCCTCAAGTACCAAATTACGAAAGCATTAACATCTGGTCAAGACCCTACCTCCCTCTTCCTCCTAGTAAGCGAATTCGAAACCGGATTCCCGTATAAAACACAAGAGAAAGTTTAAGGGAAAAGTTTAACCTTGTTTTCATCCATTTTGTGATCAATTATCCAGATTATAAGAACATTCCGAAGTCAGATCCTCTTTGCGAGGTTCACAAAATGCGCTATCTTTTCGCGCAGAGAATAAAATCTATTATCTTTACTATTTTTGTCATTATTAATTTTTGCAATGGAATTCAATCCCCGGTAAAGAACTTAACTCTGTTGATCGAAAAACGGACGCAACGAATGCTTTTATCAATCCGTGAAAATAGTAACAAAAATATTTATTGAGCATGATTACTGGTTTATTTAAATAGATTGTAAACTAATATTTTTCAATCACATAAGAATTAAAAACATTCTGAAAACATTTTAGACAACAAATGTCTTACGACGTAAATAAATATGATTAACAGAGAGAAATACCAATTAAACATTTCTGTTAGGATTTACACAACTGTAATGAAATTCATGTATTTTTTTAATGGAAATCTAGAAAGAATATGTTTATTACTTTGTCATATCTTTTTAATTAACGCATTTCAGCACATGCTTTATTTCTTAACCACCAATGTTTAGATAAATTTATCAAGACAACGATAAGATTAATGAAAAACAAATATAAGATATTTTGTGATATGTGCAATCTCCAGTGGTTAAAGGAACACAGGACTGAACAGAACTAGACCTGATTAAGACTGTCATTACCAAAGGGATGTTTACTACATTGTTATTACTCAGTGTTATTGCATATTTGGCACTTCATGTTTACGCACGATATGGCCGACATGGGCGACTCTTCTATAATATACCAGGCCCATCAGGTTATCCAATTATTGGTCATATACACCTATTTGCATTTTCTTCATCAGGTAAGGTAAAATTCTTAATACATTTCCATAAAGTAGGTAATTCTACATTGTGCAACTATTAATATTATTATGTGTTTGTTATTAACTTTGATATAAAATTTTGTCACTGACAGAAGTTTCTAAATATTCTTTTAGGACATTATTGTTCTTATTTGTTTCTAATGTATCTGACAATGAGTGTTAAAAATGGCTGTAAATATTGATATGAAAAATATTAAGTAAAGTTGATTAAAACTTTCTCTGTATGTATACCTCAAACACATACATTTTTTTAGAGAAACTCTGGAAGATTTACGTGGATTTAACTGATCAGTATTCTATTTTTAAATTATGGGCATTCTCTACGTCTCTTGTATCCATCCGTCATCCCGATGATCTGGAGGTAATAAGATATATAAAAGAAAATTAAATTTTATATATGTATATATATGTATATTATATACAGGGTGTCTGATGCAAAAGTAGCCAACTTGAAAATAGTGGTAGATTGGGTTAAACTAAGGAGAAATGTCATGTGCCGCGATACAAAAGTAACAATAGTTATCGAGTAATTAATTTACACGTTTGAGCGAATGAGGATGCAGGAGACGGTAGGCCGGACTCGGAAGGTATTTAAGAAAATCGATCGATGAGCGAGAGGTGGAGCGACGCGCGAGATACACCGTGGTGGGAAAAAATCTAGGCGCGGCTGGAAGCGCGGCGCGGGCGGCGAGCACGGCAGCGAGCGCGAGCGACGGGCGACCCGAAACATAAACATAGGGTGCTTTCCAATTATTTTACACTTTTTAACACAAACGTACACAAGAAGACACAAAGTGTCGCGATGTGCACGACTCAATTGGAATAAAATATACCACAAAGAGTACACAAAGTAGTATAGTATCCATGCTTGGTATTTTTAATCCATGGTGGTGATCGAAACTGCGTCATCTAATGTTGATTCAAAATATTTATTACCTCAATGATACTCTGAATATTGTCGTTGTTCATTGTTGAGTAAAAAGAAAAAAAATGTGTGCCGTACTTGCGTATTTTCCTCCTCCCACTTCGGTATTACTTATGCGCCAGAATGATATCAGACGTAACCTCACTTCTTTTTTTCCCTTTTATATAGTAAACCGTCGTAGCGAAGGAATATGCCGACCACTTGTAGCCGCCGTACTTAGTAACTATTATTTGTCACTAGAAAACACAAGCTTACACAGCCGACTAGTAGCCCTCAGGCTGAGTACGAATGTGTAGAGGTGTGTCGACATTTGTGACAATTGGAACGCCATTTGTGTCGCCGTGTGCACGAAAGTGTCTAGGGATATTGCAATTGGAAAGCACCCATAGTATCTCGCGCGTCGCTCCACCTCCCGCTCATCGATCGATTTTCTTAAATGCCTTCCGAGTCCGACCTACCGTCTCCTGCATCCTCATTCGCTCAAACGTGTAAATTAATTACTCGATAACTATTGTTACTTTTGTACCACGGCACATGACATTTCTCCTTAGTTTAACCCAATCTACCACTATTTTCAAGTTAGCTACTTTTGCATCAGACACCCTGTATATGTATATTATTTATCAATTAAAAATCTAGATTTTTCGTTTATTTTTATTTTCCAAATAAAAACACTCAGAAAACCGCTATTTTAGAGAAAATGAAATGAGACAGTTTAAATAAATAAATAAATAATCTGTATTATACTTTTCAAGTTAGACAAAATTTAGCTTAACATTTTCTATAATTTTCTAGGTAATACTAAGGAGCACAAACTACATCGAGAAAAGTAGAATATATGACGCATTACAACCTTGGTTACAGACGGGTCTTCTCACTAGTGGAGGTAGCGTAATTATATTTATATACATATAAGTGTTACAGAGTTTTTTATATTATGCCCTTCTACCCATTACGATTTTAATTTAATTAACATTGACAACGAAATTCATATTTAAATTTTACTTTAAATGATAGAACTGGTATAGAAATGCTCGATTATAAATTAGTAATTTTGAAAACTATCTAAGGTATAAACATAAATGCAAGTGCAGTTATTCTACAAAATAATTTTACTACAGTCTATTGCGAAAAATAGTCAAACCTTTGAATGCTGGTATTTTTCATGGTAGATTTCTTTTAATAAAATTAAATAAAGTTTACATTATTTCTACAGGTTATTATTGCTTTAATTGCGTAGTAATAATTAAAATTAAAAAAACCAGGACCAGAAACATAGGTTCTAGTGTCATTGGAATGAATAAAGATTGACCCAGAATGTTAGATGTAAACGTGACCAACTAAAAGTTGAAAGTATCATATAATAGATTGAGTTAAACTGAAAAAAGTCATGTAATCATTTTCTATGTACTAGCGTGAAATTACTATTATGTATGCACCATTTTGTAAAACTTGCAATAGTTATTGAGTAACACAAAAATTTCTGAACGAATGTGCGTTTAAGGAATGATAGACCGATCTCGACACGTGTGTACAATGATTTACTTGTTTACATCTTTACGATCTAATTAGCAAGGGGCGAACGGCGATTGTGAGTCGCTCACTGTTCGCCTTTCATTCCTCGCTTATAGCATCGTAAAAACTAAACTTTCTGCATGCGTGCCGAGTCCGACTTACTGCTTCTCATGCGGTCATTTGTTCAAGCGTTCGAATTAATCACTTAATAAGTATTGCGAATTTGACAAAACATATCACGTAAGTTTTATTTTTTAGTTTATTCAAATCTCTCACCATCTTCGGTTGATCACTATTATGTTTCATCCTCTATGAGGTAAAACACTACTATTGTGATAAGAACATCGATACAAGAGTAGTGATATTATGATAAGAACACTGATAGAACATTATAAATGAGATTTCTGTTTATACGTTAGTGAACAAATGTGACTGCAAATTTCTTACAATTAGTACGCACAGAAAACAAATTTTAGATATAGCTGAGTAATGTTGAGTAGCGTTAATTAATTATTAATATTATATTAGTAAGAGACAGTTTTCGTAGCGCTTATAAACATTATGTGTTCTCGCTTAATAGTATTATGCAATTATGTATTACCTTCTTATTGTTTTAGGGGCTAAGTGGCATACACGGAGAAAAATATTAACTCCCACGTTCCATTTTAACATATTGCAAAAATTTGTTGAGATTTTAATCGAGGAAAGTGAGAGCATGACAAAGTCTTTGAAAAAAGAAGGGGGCACAGTTGTGAAAGACTTAATACCATTCCTTAGTGAACATACGCTTAATGCAATATGCGGTATTATATTTTATTTCCAACTATTTACTTTTATTTAAAGTTTTGTCTGGAATAAGATAATAAATAAAAATTATATAAATTTCTTACAAAAATATTAATGTCGCAACAAACTGATGTTATTTTTACATTATTTACATATTTTACATGATTATGCATTACAGTTATATAAATTTTTGTAGAAACTGCCATGGGTATCTCTTTAAAAGGAGTGGGATCATTTCAGCAACACTATCGAAACGCAGTTTATCAGATGGGCCAAATTATAGTTTATAGGTAATTTATAAATATACATAGATAACTGCGATTTATCTGTGAATGATTTAACAAATAAATTAACATTAAATATCATCTAAGGATAAATAACTGTCAAACATAAAACATCATTCAAATCAACAATCTGGTAGGCTGCACATCATCTGTCAAATTGATTGCATTAAAATAAAGAATATCTAAACTAAACTTTGATTTCCAAAAGCGCAAGTGATATTAATAGGTGACATAATAATAATGTCTAGATTAAAATAGACGTTATTATATTTTTTTAACGTTACTGTTTTATATGTATACTTGCGACAGTTATAAAATGTTTATTTGAAATAAAACTCAAAGACACACCATGTTTAATATAAAAATCTTTAATTAAAATTAATGTTACTCGTACGTTAGTAAAAGGTCCCGCATATTTTTGAAATATTTTTTTTATTTAAACTTTTTACAAATATTACACGCTTGTTCTGGGATTTCTTAAATAATAATTGGTAATTATATATTATCGTTAAAGGAAAATATTTTTATGATTTAGAGTAATGAGGCCGTGGTTGCAGAACAATTGGATATTCCTGTTAATGCCAACAGGTAGAAAGCAACCAAAGATCTTGAATATATTGTACAAATTTACCGAAAAAGTACGTAAAAATGTTATCTACTTTAATAATACTTATGGACATTTCATTTCATAAAAAAGTAAAAATCCTGTAATATTTGGGAAATAATTAAATAATTCGTAAACGTTGGCCAATACATATGTATTTAGTATTTCCACAAACAATAAAAATAAAATTGAGGTCGGGTATGAACAGATTATTGCAGAAAGAAGAAATTATCATAAACTCACCAATGGGCAGTACTTGAAAAACATTAACAATGATGTAGAAGAAGATGATGCCGAAATTAAAGGAAGTATGTAGTGTAATCCAATACTATTTTAAATGTCTTAAGTTCATCTTACATTTAATCGTCATCTCATATTAAAAATTATTGTTGCATTGAAATTGAAATTTTATCACTTTTACATTATGAATCAAAATATGACAAAATCGTGAATTAAATTAATTCAATATTTTTAACGTTAATTGGAATTTTAATTTAACAGATTTTTTGAAAAGTAACACATAAAATTGTACTTTAAAATTAGCATTTACATGCTTATACAATTTAATTTAGCTCGAAAAAAGCGGCTTGCAATGTTGGATCTTTTAATACTGGCGTCTGAAGAGGGTCTTCTAACTGATTCAGATATTAAAGAAGAAGTTGATACATTTGTATTTGAGGTATATACTCTAAGTTTGCTTCTTTTTTTTACCGTTGAATTAGATGTATGTCGATATAAGGAATGTGATTCTAGGGTCATGATACTACAGCGATGGCTTTATGTTTTGCTTTATCATTATTGGCTGAACACAAGGACATTCAGGTATTTGTCATTAAGTGAGAACATGGTGATTAAAAGAAAATATTAAATAATCCTTTCAACTTAACAAACTATCTATTGAAAGTAACTATTAAACGTAATAGAAACAATAAGTTGTATGTATACATGGTATAGTATGTGGATTAGGACAAACTGAAGAGAAAAGTCAGATACCATGATGCAAAGCTTTCAATAGTTATTGAGTTATTAGTGATTATGTCTAAGCGAATGAGCGCGCGAAAACAGACTCCTGATTAGAGGCGGTGCTCGGTGGATGTAGTGTCGCTCGTTACTCGCCAACCGCCGCTCTCCGTTTACCATTCGCTACCCGCCATCCAACGCTCGTCGCTCGCCCGCGGCGTCACTACACCTACCATGCCCGGCCTACAGTCAGAAGCCTGTTTCCACGCGCTCATTAGCTTAGACGTAATAATTAATAACTCAATAACTATTGCAAATTTTGCGTCATGGTGTCTGACTTTACTCTTCAGTGTGCCCTAATTTTCCTACATACTGCGATTGATCAGTTACTTATCTGCCACCCTACATATGCGTGGATATACAGGGTGTGTCCTAATACCCGTATGTCCCGTAGATGGCAGATAGACCGGGGCATACTGAATAGAAAAGTCCTATACTATTTTGCAAAATTCGCAGTAGTTATCGAGAAATTAATTTTAATGTCTGAGCGAATGAGAGCGTAGAAGGCGGCAGGCCGGACTCGGCAGGCAACGGTGGGGCATCATCTAATAGCGAGAGGTGGAGCGGCGCGCCGAAAAAAGTTGTCAAAAAAGCTCGCCGCTCGCTGCGTGACAACTTTTTTTCGG